TTCTGATACAGTCAAACCACATTCAGCAGCATATTAAAAGGATTGTTCACCACAACCACATGGGATTTATCCTAGGAATGCAAGAGTGAAAAATAGAGAAACCAATCAGTACAATGCACTACATTAGTAGAATGAAGGGGGGGGAACCCACATGATCATTTCAGTTGATGCAGAAAAAGCATCGGACAAAAGCCAACGTTCTTTCATGATAGAAACACTAAACAAACTATGACTAGAAGAGAACTTTCTCAACACAATAGAGGGCATTATGAAAAACCCATAGCTAACATCGTGCTCAACGGTGAAAGACTGATACTGTTCTCCCTAAGATCAGGAACAAGACAAGAATGACCACTTTCACCACTTCTAGTAAACATTGTACTAGAAGTCCTAGCCTAGGAAATTAGACAAGAAAAAGAAATAAAAGGCATCTAAATTAGAGGAAGAAATAAACCTTACCACAAAGCTACAATAATCAAATCAGGAGTATCGGCATAAGGATGAACATACAGATCACGGGAATAATTGAGAGTCTAGAAATAAACTTATACATCTGTGGTCAATTGAGTTTCCAAAAGGATATCAAGATCATTTGAAGAAAGAATAGTCTCTCCAACAAATGGTTCTGGGACAACTGGATAGTCATATGCAAAACAATGAAATTGAACCCTATCTTGTGCCATATATAAAATTTAATTCAAAACAGATGAAAGATTTAAATATGAGAGCTAAAGCTAAAGATAAAAATCATATGATCTTATCAATAGATACTGAAAAAGCATTTGACAACATCCAGCACCCATTTCTGATAAAAACACTCAGCAATGTGGGAATAGAGGGATCGTATCTTGACAAAATAAAGGCCATCTATGCAAAACCTACAGCCAACATTATACTCAGTGGGCAAAAATTAAAAGCATTTTCCTTAATAACAGGAACAAGACAGGGGTGCCCACTTTCACCACTCTTATTTAACATAGTACTAGAAGTCTTAGCCACAGCAATTAGACATGAAGAAAAAATTAAAGGGATCCAAATTGGAAAAGAGGAAGTGAAACTGTCATTATTTGCAGATGACATGATATTGTACATAGAAAACCCTAAAGACTCCATCAAAAATCTACTAGATTTAATAAATGAATTTGGCCAAATAGCAGGATATAAAATTAATGTCAAGAAATCAACAGCATTCTTATGCACCAACAATGAACTCACAGAAAGAAAACCTAAAAAAAAAAAAAAAAAAAAAAATCCCATTTACCATCACAGCAAACTAATTAAGATACCTGGGAATAAACTTAATCAAAGGAGTAAAGGACCTCTTCACAGAAAACTACAGGTCATTGAAAAAAGAAATAGAAGAAGATATAAAAAAGTGGAAGCATATACCTTATTCATGGATTGGAAGAATTAACATCACTAAAATGTCCATACTACCCAAAGCAAGCAATCTATATATTAAATACAATCCTGATCAAAATACCAATAACATATTTCACAGGACTAGAACAAATACTTCAAAAGTTTATATGTAATCAAAAAAGACTCTGAATAGCCACAGCAATCTTGAAAAAGAACAAAGTAGGAGGGATCACAATACTGGATGTCAGGTTATACTACAAAGCCACTATAATCAAAACATCCTGGTACTGGCACAAGAACAGGCATATAGACCAGTGGAACAGAACAGAGAACCCAGAAATGGACCCAAGGCAATGTGCTCAATTAATATTTGACAAAGGTGGCAAGAGCACACAGTGGAGTACAGACAGCCTCTTCACTAAATGGTGCTGGGAAAATTGGACACCTACATGCAAAAAAAATGAACCTAGACCACCAATTTACACCACACACAAGAATAAACTCAAAATCAATAAAAGACTTAAATGTGATTCATGAATCCATAAAAATCCTAAAAGAAAATGTAGGCAACAAAAATTCAGACATCACAAGCAGCAGAATTTTCACTGATACATCACCTAAGGCAAGAGAAACAAAAGAAAAAATGAACACATGGGACTACATCAAACTAAAAAGCTTCTGCACAGCAAAAGAAACACCATCAAAATGGAAAGGGAACCCACTATATGGGAGAGCATAATTGCCAACGATACATCAGATAAAGGGTTAATTTCCAAAATATATAGAGTACTCATACAACTCAACAAAAGGAAGATAAACAACCCAATTAAAAGATGGGCAGAGGAGCTGAATAGACACCTCTCCAAACAGGACATACAAATGGCCAAGAGACATATGAAAAAATGCTCAGCGTCACTAATCATCAGAGAGATGCAAATTAAAACAACTATGAGATATCACCTCACACCTGTCAGAATGGCCGCCATCAACAAATCATCAAACAACAAATGCTGGCGAGGGTGTGGAGAAAAGGGGACTCTAGTACACTGCTGGTGGGAATGCAGACTGGTGCAGCCACTATGGAAAACACTATGGTATTACCTCAAAAAGTTAAAAATTGAACTGCCATTTGACCCAGTGGTCCCACTTCTAGCAATATACCCTAAGAACCCTGAAACACCAATAAGAAAGAATATATTTACCCCTATGTTCATAGCAGCACTATTTACAATTGCTAAGATCTGGAAACAGCCCAAATGTCCCTCAGTAGACAAATGGATAAAAAAGCTGTGATACATATACACAATGGAATACTATGCAGCTGTAAGAAAGAAAGATCTCTTTTATCTTTTGGGACGACATGGAAGGACCTGGAGAGTATTATCCTAAGCAAAACCAGCCAATCAGAGAAAGACAAATATCACATGATCTCACTTATTTGTGGAATATAAAGAACAAAACAAACTGATGAACAAAATGGACCCGGAGACATAGAAGTAGGGTACAGACTACCAAACCTCAGAAGAGGGGGGTGGGTGGGGATGGAAGAGATAATCCACAGAACTTATATGCATGTATACGTAACCAATGGACATAGACAACAATACTGGGGATGGGGCAGGTGGGGGGGGGGAGAGATTGGGAGGAGGGTGTCAATGAGGGGAAAAGGAGAAACATCTGTAACAAAAATAAATTAATTAAAAAAAATTTTTTTAAAGAGCTAAAGCTATAAAACTCTTAGAAGAAAACATAGGGTAAATCTGCGTGACCTTAGATGTAGCAATGGTTTCTAGGTATCACACTGAAAGCATAATCCACAAAAGAAAATATAGATAAATTGAACTTCATAAATATTAAAATGTTTTATGTACCAAAGGACATCATCAAGAGAGTAAAAACACAACTCACATGGGAGAAATATTTGCAAATCATAATTCTGAGAAGGGTCTAGTATCCAGAATGCATAAAGAACAGCGATAACTCAACAACAGAAAGACAACTCAATTGAAAATGGGAAAAGCGTTTTGACAGACATTTATCCAGAGAAGATATACAAATGGCCAATAGGCAGATGAAAGGAAGCCAATATTATTTGTTATTAGGTAATGCAAATCAAAACCATGATGAGATGCCACTTCATACCCAGGGTAGCTATAATAATAATAATAATAATAATAACAATAATGTGTCAGCGAGCATGTGGAAAAATTGAAATCCTTGTACATTGCTAGTGAAAATGTGAAATAATGCTGCTGATGTAGAAAACAGTCTGGCGGTTCCTCAAAAGTTAGACATAAGGTTACCATACGACCCAGCAATTCCACTCCTAGGTATATGCCCAAGAGAAGTGAGGGGGGAAAAGGCGATCAAACAAAAGTTTGTACAAAAATGTTTATGGCATAATTATTCACATTAGTCAAAAGGTGGAAACAACTCCAGTGCCCACCAACTGATCAATGGTTAAATAACATGTGGTACGCCCATACAGGGGCCACCATCCATGCATAAAAAGGAGTGAAGCGCTGACACCGGCTACACCGTGATGAGCCTTGAAAACGTTATGCTCAGTGACATAAGCCAGACACAAAAGGCCACGTATTGTATGGTTCCTTTTGCATGAAATGTGCAGAATGGGCCGATCCGTAGAGACTGAAAACAGAGTAATGATTGACAGGGACAAGAAGGGACTGCTTAATAACACAGCATTTCCTTCGTAGCGATGAGAACGTTCTGGAACTAGAGTGGTCATGGTGCCTTCTAAAGGTTCCTAAGAGGGAGGTCCCATGCTCAGCAGCACTGGACGTGATCAGTGTTGCAAATCTTGGTTGCTCTTACAGGTGGGACAGCTATATTTGTATCAGGTTGTTTTGTGTCTTATCCTGCGTTGGTTGTAAGGACTTTTCCATTTTCATACTAACCTTTCATCTATCATGCATGTTGCAAGCATTTTCTGGTAGTTTAAGATCTTCAGTTTGTAAACCAAAAAGATTCCCTTTGGGTTGGATGTGGAATTATGCCATTGATGGGTTGCCTAGGAAGAGTGGAGGACGATACAGCCCTGAGATTTTTGCCCACAACTATCTCAGGTCCTCAGTGCACATACTTTTTGTGCGGGTTTTGGTCAAATTTCACTTTTTTGTTCACGTCTGATCCTCTTAACAGTCCTCTCGGGTGCTTTATGGTTTGGGTCTCGATGGTGCCGGGCGTCTCTCCTGCAGTTCTCACGTGGCACAGCTGGCCAGACGGAGGGCTGCTGGTGGCCGTGAGTGTAGTCCACGCCCTGCCCCCTCGTGAATGTGACGTTAGAACCCGTGGCAGTCACTCGGCAAAACCTTGCCTCATATTTTTCACAAGTTTTCTGGAGCCAGAAAAAAAAAACAGATGGGAAAACAGAGTCCTGCAACATACTCACAACTTTAATGAGCAAAACCTAATTATAGAAAACAAGCCAGCACTAATGAGGGTTCTGCTGCAACCAGTCTAAACACCAATGCGGAAGGGAGCGCGTGGGAGCCTCCTGCTGGGGCAACGCTCACCAGGAGGGTATAAAAGCCCACAGGCCGGGCACCTCACACCCTCACATTTACACAGACACTCACACTACCCTCCTCCAGCTCACCTCCAGGCCCCTGCCCACCATGGCTGCATCCACCTTGTCTGTCTGCTCCAGCAACCTGAGCTATGACAGCTGCGCCTGCCTGCCTGGTTCTAGTGACTCTTGCACCAGCTCCTCCTGGCAGGTGGACGACTGTCCAGAGAGCTGCTGTGAGCCCTCCTGCTGTGCCCCCAGCGGCGGCCAGTCCACCTGCTGTGCCCCCACCTGCTGCATGCCTGTCTGCTGCAAGCCCATGTGCTGTGTGCCCGTCTGCTCTGGGGCTGCCCCCTGGTGCTGCCAGCCCACCCCCTGCCCCTCGTCCTGCTGCAGACCCTCCTCCTGCATGTCCGTCATCTGCCGCCCCGTGTGCAGGCCTGCCTGCTGCATGCCCGTCTCCTCCTGCTGTGCCCCCTCCTCCTGCCGGCCCAGCTGCTGCCGCCCGGCCTCCTGTGTGTCCGTCGTCTGCCGTCCCATGTGCAGGCCTACCTGCTGCATGCCCGTCTCCTCCTGTTGTGGCCCCACCTACTCCTGCCAGCCCAGCTGCTACCGCCCAGCCTCCTGCATGTCCGTCGTCTGCCGCCCCGTGTGCAGGCCTGCCTGCTGCATGCCCGTCTCCTCCTGCTGTGCCCCCTCCTCCTGACAACCCAACTGCTACCGCCCAGCCTCCTCTATGTCCCTGCTCTGCCGCCCGTGTGCTCCCGCCCAGCCTGCTGCGTCCCCTCCTCGGCCCAGGCGTCCTGCTACTGAGCAGCTCGATCTCCTGCCCCTGAGCTGCTGTCCTTGCTCCTGAGCACAGTCCTCTCCCGGGACCCCAGGAGCCCCTCCGCTGGTGCCAGGGCCCCCTCTCCCTTCGGTGGGCCCACAGTTGCTGCCTAACGCAGATTTGAACATGCCCCATCCCTGTTTGAGGAGATGACGCACAAGTCCCTCAAGGGGGTGTGGGGGGTGCTTGGGGTCCCCAGGAGCCTCCTCTGCAGGACTGGCTGCTCGCTTTCCATGTGACAAGGCCAATGGCTATAATCAATAAAATGTTTGTGCCGGGAAATATGAGTTTGCTTTCTCCTCCCGAGCCCCCTCGACCACTCCAAATCTGGGCTGTGGGTGCTCCGTCTGGCAGAAGCCGGACAATAAAGATGAGCTCAAATCCAAGGGCACAGGCTGGGCGACAAGACCTCACAGGGATGCCATCTGCAGCCTCCCCTCCCTCCCGCCCCCAGTGACCCCTCCCCGCGGGGGACAGCCCTCCAGGGCCGGGCCCCGGAGGTGTGGACCCTGAGTGGACTTGGGCTCCTGCCCACGTCCGTCCCCTGCCCGCCCAGGCTAAGGGTGAGGTGGGAGCAGCAGAAACCCTGTTGGTCGGGAACTGGCAGTCCAGGACCTAGCACATGCTGACTCCCTGGGGAGTGGTCCCGCACGCGGTCCAGACAGGGCCTGAGGCTCTGAGCACTGATAAGACCCTGTGGGCCCAACAGGGGTACAAAGCTCAGTTCAGACACCACATTGTGCTCAAGGTTGCAAGGCCAGGTTGCGGAGGCACAGAGCAAGAAGACTCCTGTGAACACCCTCAGGCCTGTGGGGAGGATAAGTCTGCAGTCTCAGCGCACCCACTGTACGCGAGTCAAGACACCCAGGCAGCATCGGGTGCCCTACTTATCCCTTATTCCCTCATCAGGGACAGAGGCAGTAGGACCATAGGAGCCGGGGAACAGCGGAGAGCAGGCAGACAGAACCAGGCATGTCCCCCGGGGGCCAGCAGGGGAGACTGTAAGCCCCGCTCTCCCTCCAGGTCAGCTCCACAGGCAAAGAGAGGACAGGGCGAAACCCTAAGACAAAACAGCTGGATCATAAGCCTGCCTTGATTCCTAAATCCCTGAGCTTGCCTGAGTTTGCTCAAAACCTGTACCCATGACTTGCTCATTCGAATTCTAAGAAATGCATGACCGTCTTTATAGATAAATGGACAAAGTTCTCGATGAAGTCTTCACAGCACAGAGTTAAAAAGACACGGACAAAGGTCCTACCTCATATGTGGTGCTGGCGAGGATGTGGAGAGAAGGGGGCCCCCGTGCCCTGCTGGGGGTGCAGACTGGTGCAGCCACCGAGGAAAGCAGTATGGAGTTTCCTCAAAGATTTTAAATGGAACCACTTTATGACCCAGTGATTCCACTTCTGGGAATTTATCTGAAGAAACCTAAAACACTAATTCGAAAGTACACACGGATCCTGGCCTGGCCAGTTTGGCTCAGCGGTTAGAGCATCGGCCTGCGGTCCGGAGAGACCCGGGTTCGGTTCCCGCTAAGGGCATGTACTTCGGTTGCAGTTTGTCCCCGGCCCTGGTTGGTTGTGCGGGTGGCAGCCACTCGATGTGTCCCTTCACGTCGATGTTTCTCTCTCTCTCTCTCTTCCTCCCTCTCCCTCCCACTCTATCTGTACAAAAAATGGAAAAATATCCTCGGGTGAGGATAAAAAAAAAAAGAAAGTACACACGCACCCCTATGTTCACTGCAGCATTATTTACAACAGCCAGCATTTGGAAACAGCCCAAGTGCCCATCTTGGATGAGTGGATAAAAAAGCTGTGGTGCATTTGCATGATGAAGTACCACTCAGCCACACAAAAGAATGAAATCTTACCTTTCGTGACAGCGTGGATGGACCTGGAGAGTATTATACTAAGTAAAATGACCTAGTCAGAGAAAGACAAGTACCATAGGATTTCTCTTATATGGAGAATCTGATGCACAAAATGAACTAACAAACAAAATAGAAACCGACTCAGCTGTCAGAGGGGAGGTGGGAGGGACTGAGGGAAAAGTGAAGGGATTAAGAAAAACCCTCACAGACGGAAGGTGGTGTGGCGATTCCCAGACAGGAGTGGGAGTGGGGGAGGTGGGAGGGGTGAAGGGGATGAATGTGATGAAAGAGACACGATGTGGGGCGGTGAGCGCACAGTGCAGTACGCAGACGAGGCATTCTGGAATCGGACACCTTAAACCTGTATACGTTTATTAACCAGTGTCGCCTCGACAAATTCAATAAAAAATCATAAATTTAGAAAAAAAAGGTTCTACCCCACTCCTAACCCAAGGAAAGTGAGATGCAGGGGTGTCAACCCCCGTGAAAGCGGCAGCCTACAGCCCACAATGTCGGTTAGAGCCGCGCCCCGCCGCTCCCCGCCGCTTCCCGCTGCTCCCGAGCGCGCCCCGGCTCTGCAGGGGCGACCGCACACCCCATGGCGCCTCTGCCTGGGACCCTGCGGTGCAGCTCAGCATCTCCTCCTCACAGAGGCCCCGCCCCCAGCTGCCCCTCACTCTCTGCCAGCTGCACCTGTTTCCTCTCTGGGCTCAGCCCTCCCGGAATGGCTTCGTGCATTGATTTCTCCGTCCACGCGTGTGTTCATGGCCCTGGGAGCTCAGGAGCCAGGATGTCTCTGCTGCCAGCACACGGCACGTACTGTTTGTTGCATAAACAGGTCAGTTTCTGTGTAGATTTGGGGCAAACTTTCTGTAACGGGCAGATAGTATTTCAGGCGCTGCTGTCACACGGTCTCTCCACAACAGCTCAGCACGTTGTGCAAAAGCAGCCGTGAACAGCTCAGAGATAAACAAACAAAACTTTTACTTACAAACAGGCAGCAGGCAGTCACAGGGCAGACTCGTGTCTGCAGACTCCTGCTTTCCTGCTTCCCGGGCAGACTGCAAGCTCCGACCACACTCCTGCCGCAGACCTTCCTTGACGCTGAGACACTGGCCGAAAGGACGCCGTGCTCTGGGCCCAGCCCGCTGCTCTGTGCACAGAACGCCTGGAGGAACCCCACGCGGCCCACGCAGTCAAACCAGAACTCCCTGTCTACAGAAGGGAAGCCTGACCTCAGAGCCACGCTGATTTATGGTGGAGCCTAACACAGGACAGTGCGACCCAGGAAGGACATGCTGGGAAACATGGCGGAACCAGCCACAGGGAAGTCAGCAGTCCTGCTTCTGTGCTGCGGGGACGCCCACAGCCTGGGTATAAGGGCCGCCAGGGAAGGAGCCTACAGACATCACCGCCTCCACTCCCACACCAGCCAGCCCCACGACGACATGGGCCACACCAGCTGCTCCACAGCCTGCCAGGCTGGCTGCTGCTCGCCCAGCCCCTGCCAGTCCTCCGTGTGCCAGCCCGTGAGCTGCAAACCCACTGTGTGCGTGCCTGTGAGCTGCCAGACGTCCTGCACCCTGCCCGTGAGCTGCAAACCCACTGTGTGCACAGCCCCCACCTGCAAGTCCTCTGTGTGCCTGCCCACAAGCTGCAAACCCACTGTGTGCACAGCCCCCACCTGCCAGCCCTCCGTGTGCCTGCCCACGAGCTGCAAGCCCACTGTGTGCACAGCCCCCACCTGCCAGCCCTCTGTGTGCCTGCCCACGAGCTGCAAACCCACTGTGTGCACAGCCCCCACCTGCAAGTCCTCTGTGTGCCTGCCCACGAGCTGCAAACCCACTGTGTGCACAGCCCCCACCTGCCAGCCCTCCGTGTGCCTGCCCACGAGCTGCAAACCCACTGTGTGCACAGCCCCCACCTGCAAGTCCTCCGTGTCCCTGCCCCTGAGCTGCAAACCCATGGTGTGCACAGCCCCCACCTGCCAGCCCTCTGTGTGCCTGCCCCTGAGCTGCAAACCCGCCGTGTGCACAGCCCCCACCGGCCAGCCCTCCGTGTGTCTGCCCACGAGCTGCAAACCCACTGTGTGCACAGCCCCCACCGGCAAGTCCTCCGTGTGCCTGCCCACGAGCTGCAAACCCACTGTGTGCACAGCCCCCACCGGCCAGCCCTCCGTGTGCCTGCCCACGAGCTGCAAACCCACTATGTGCACAGCCCCCACCTGCCAGCCCTCCGTGTGCCTGCCCACGAGCTGCAAGCCCACTGTGTGCACAGCCCCCACCTGCCAGCCCTCTGTGTGCCCCTGAGCTGCAAGCCGGTGGTGTATGTGGCCTCCTCCTGCCCGTCCTCGGGGTGCTCCAGCCCTCCTGCCCCACCCCGGTCTGCAGACCCATGTCCTGCGGCACCCCTTCCTGCTGCTGACCTGCACGGTCTCCTGCCAGCTGCTCCCAGTGCCGACGGGGCCACACCTGCACCTCTCCCACAGCCAGCCCTCGGGGGCCTCCAGGCTCCGCACGTGGCCGATGAAAGCGTGTCCAACAAGCCCTCTGAACTCCAGGACGAGAATGTGGCAGGGTGGTCTGGGTCCCTCGTGACCCTGCGCGTCCTCTCAGGGCAGCTCTGGGGCGCAGGGGGCGCCTCCGTCTCCAGCAGGAAACCCACCCGGGGTGAGGCAAATACACCTCGCCTTCTCGATGTGGCTGGTCGCTCGGCGTTGCCTTCACATGTGTCCGGAGCTCTTTCCGGAAGGTGGACACCGTCCTGAGCACAGCAGCACCTCCTCAAGGAGTCTGGCTGGAAAGCTCAGCGGAAGGTGGGGTCCTTGGCGGCTGGAGGGTGGGGGAAGGTGCCATCCCCGTCTGCCACCCAGGACACTGCAGATGGGAAAGGACAGAGGAAAGCTTCCCTCCTGCTGAGTGGGGGGCAGAGAACATGCCTGGGCCCCGGGTCGCACGGGGAGCCCTAAGGACTGCTCCCACAGGAGGGCAGGAAGCTCCCCCACCCCCCAGGTACAAAGTGAGGCTGGCTGTCGCAGGGAGCAGCAGCAGGAAGTCGGAGGAAACCTGGACCTCCAAGTCCCAGGTGCACAGGGCCTGCTCCAGGCTGACCCTGGCCAGGGTGACAGAGAGGCTCCTGCCCAACTCCCCGACCAGCGCAGCTGGGTGAGCGCCGTCAGTCTCCAGCGGGGAAAGGCAGACACGTGTACAGGTCCCTTCCATGTACAAAGCACATGGGGGCAGCTGAAAACTTAGGGCAGGGCAAGAACGCCCCCCCCCCCCAGCCTGGAGTCTTTGTGCTCAGAATGTCCTCACAATAACAATGAAATCCAAACCACATCAATGTCTGAGCAGGTTGATTCAACCCCGCCCCACACACACTGACGATGGAAGAAGAGGAGCACCCATCTCCAGGAGGAAGCACTGTTTATGTCCATTTCAATTACAGCATGATATCTGATATTCGATCAAAGCTCAGAAGGTGTACAAAAACGACAGGGAATAATCCGTTTTTAAGAGGCAAAGCAATCAACACAATTGAACTCAAAATGACCCAGATGTTGCAGCTATCAGATGAAAATTTTAAAAGTAATGGGTGAAGTAAGTCAGACAGAGAAAGACAAATATTGTAGGATCTTACTCCCAAAGGACGGAGAAGCAATGACGACCCGTTAGCAGTGAGTGCCCAGGATCCCAGATTGTGGTTACTAAATCTCATTTCCCACTAAGAAGGACCGCTGCTCCTTGGAATGATAAGTTGCTGGGAAATGAAATAAGCAAGATGATGAATCTGGGACATTTTGAGACCCAAAGCAAAGAAGTTGTCAAAGACTACCGAAAAGGACTCGAGGTGATTTGAAGGGGCTGCCACTGAGGTCCACTGAAGAAGGAGCAATTGCATCCTCCAAAAGCACCTGCTACAGCTCCTGCTACAGATTAAAGTACACCGAATATATAAAAAGCCATAAGTGCATAAAGATACACAAAGTTATACACACACACTATACACACACATATGTATATATATATATATACAAATACATGCATAAAACATATGTGATATAAGAGCATATATACAGATGTATACGTACCTGTGTGTGTATAATCAAAGATCTATAGAGGCTACTAGGACACCAAAAATTATTCTAAAAATTGCTAAAAAGGACAGAATGAATCACATATCTGGCCTTTCCTGTAAAAACAGTCCTTTAGGTAACCAAATACACATCCAAGTTATTCTTTGTAGAAGGATCCCAGCCAAAAAAAAAAAAAAAATGTAGAAGTCATGACAAGCTTAGGCAATTGCCATTTCGCAGTGCCCAGTGACGTCATGGATCTAAGTCATGATTCTCAGCGGCTGCTAAAACCGAGGCTGAAAAGCTCAAGGAAGCAGGCTGACAACCCCCAGGCCAGAGATCAACCCGACACCCAGAAACTGAAGCCCCAGACCCCACTGGCCTCTTGATGCGATGCCCTTGGAAACACCACTCTTCCTGGGGAGTAATCTTGTCTAAAGAGTTGAACCTACATTTCCACTGGGCCTTCTCCCGTTTTGCAGGAAATATAGGAGATGGAGGAATATTGTAAACACCTCAAAGACACAAACAACCTAATCCAGAATGCAGGAAGCATCCCAGGACAAACAACCAATTTCCTCAGCGAATAAATGCTGTAGGAGTCCCTGTAAATCCAAAGGGGCCGAGGAGAAGCATCAGCCGCATGCTGCGTGCGAGCCTCGTCTGGACTCCGACTTGAGTAGAACAATGATTTGTCTTCTTTCAGACAATCAGAATAAAATAAATAGACTAGATGAGCACTGTTGATAGTCTAACGTTTCAAACTTGTATAGGTGCTCCTAGTACATACATTACATAAGTGTAATAGACACACATGTCCACCCACACATCGATTCTTATAATGTGCTTATACTCAGTTAATTTGCCCCTTTTGGTAAAATAGCAAGGACTTCTTCCTGTGCCCACACACATAGATCTATCAACCCCATTCTTTTTCATGCCCGTGTAGTGTTTCATTACACAGATATGCCGAAATAGCATTATTCCCCTATTCATGGCCCTCAGCTTGTCTCATTTGTTGTTGTTGCTGTTACACTGTGATCACAAACACCTTTTTAGGTCTATGTTGGTGCAACATTTCTGTTCAGCTGATTCCCAGGAGAAAACACCCTTTTTTTTTCTTAAAGGAAGAGGAAGCATGCTCAGGAGGCTGGCTGCCTAGGGCTTCAGTCAGTGCCGAGGAGCCAGAGCTCAGACCCTGAGCAGGCTCCCATCTCCCGCACCGCCTCCAGCCTTGGGGACTCGGGCGGTGCAGTGGATCGCCTGTAAAAGCCTGGGGAGGGGGTACAGAGCATCCACCCAGCTGAGGGCCGCTGCAAACATTTGAAACCTACAGTCACTCACTCAGGATCATGAGCCCCATGGTTGGGCAATACTTCTCAAATTGGCGTTCAGTAACTGATGGAACCTGGAAGCCACCTACACTTGGCACTTGGGCAGTCCCCGCCGTGCTGAGGCGATAGCGGAAGAGACAGCAGAATTCCTCTAGGGATTATCCCAGGTAACACACACCTGCCACACCCAGCGGCTCCAGGGTCTGCTCCATTGAATTGAGGACTCGGGAGAAGAGAGGACAACAATGCCCCTTAAGGGGGTGGCCCCAAGAGAGGCTCCCCTGTCTTGTCCCCTTCCAGGGGGCAGTGGGGCTGACCTGGAATACGAAGGCTTCTTTTCTGGTATCTCCCCCAACCTGTTTTGTCCATCTCTGCGAAGGAGGTGTTGCCTAGCAACCAAAGAAGGGCAATGACGTCCTTGGACTATTCTGTTCCACTCCTGCGACACTTAACTCTGGTTGATTATTAGCACAGTCCGGAGAGCCGACAACCTGCCTTAAAGAAAAACAACTTCTAGAAGGTCACCAAGGGGCAGAAGGGGACTTCGCGCCCGGCTTGAAGGGGTTTGATGTATACCAGGTTTCCAGTTCTCAGAAATAACCTTTCTTCCTAAACCCGCAAGATTCCTTGGGCAAGCGGACAATAGGTGTTAAGAAAACTCTTTGAAATATGAGCCTTGCCATTTACTTTCTAATCTGTAAAGCTGCCGAGCAAAGGCTGGGTAGGTATTGGCTGACCTGCCTCCCTTGACATTTACTGCCTTTATGCTTTGTAAATAAATTAGGCGGCTATGAAGTACAGTGGTGTAGGTAACTGTGATATAGCTCTCCCGGCCCTGTCCTGACTGTTTCCATAAGAATGTGTTAATGATTTATACCTGAACTAAGACTTTCTGTGGACACAGGCAGGAAAAGACATTTCAAAGAGCCGATTCTGTCACCATGTAAGTAATCCCAGATAAATTGGGATTACCCAGAGACTCGGGTGTCTTGGGAACTTTAAGGTATGCCCTTGGGAAAGGTACTTTGGCTGCCCTCCTCCTATGGTAAATTGGCACCAAAACACCCTCTACTTGTTCACACAAAGAACAGACACTTCAGAATGCTCACAGTTCTAGACTCAAGACAGAGCTTAGTGCTGCAGAACAGGCCACCTGGACTCCTCCAGCCCTGGAGGTCGAATCTTTGAAAAAGGGGAGGGAAAGAAGTCACCCCCATCCCTGCTCCCTAGAGAACCACTGCTGAGGTGCTGGTATATCTTTTAAAATTCTTTTTAGTGTAGGGTGTGAGTCTGTTGTTGGGGGAGTATGCCTGTCCTTACAAGGTTAGGGTCATAATGTTGCTATTATCTTGTTTCCTGTTTTTTTCTCAGAAAAGCCTTGTTTGTGATACAGACCTATTCACAAGAACCCATGGCCAGGGTGGCCACCATCCTCCCATCGTGGCTCCTGGCATCGCTGGAACATCGTTCTGCTGTGTGAAACAGTGTTGCATAGGGAATGTTTGAAACAGTGTTGCGTAGGGAATGTTTGAAACAGTGTTGCATGGGGAATGTTTGAAACTGTTGTATGGGGAATGTTTGAAACAGTGTTGCATGGGGAATGTTTGAAACAGTGTTGTGTAGGGAATGTTTGAAACTGTTGTATGGGGAATGTTTGAAACAGTGTTGCGTGGGGAATGTTTGAAACAGTGTTGCGTAGGGAATGTTTGAAACAGTGTTGTGTAAGGAATGTTTGAAACAGTGTTGCATGGGGAAAGTTTGAAACAGTGTTGCAAAGGGAAGAGCCCAAAAAAGTAAAGAGTCAGAGCTTAGATCCAGGACAGAGGTGGGAGCTCTCTCTACCCCGCTGGAAAGGTTGACCTTGGGATCCCCCCGCAGCTGCACACCTGCTCTCCACAATTTCAGGCAGGTGGTTCTGATCATCTGATACTCTAAGATGTTCGGAAGGCATGAACCTGGACCCTTTTGTCAAATGACCCAAACCCCAAGAATAGACTGGGTTCCCTGAAGAAGCT